TGGGAACCATTGTTTTATGTAGGATTAGTATGTATCACTGTACCATAGCTTGTTAATAGGCCATGTGCAAGGTGATGATCAATGGGTCAGTGTCAGCCTTGAAGGGTATATTGAATAAAGTAGTTTTTCACTAGTCAGCATTGGTCTGGATACTAATTAACATTTCAGTGTTGATTTGAAATATGGAATAGGGAGTGAGCTTATTAAATATGCAGATTACTCTTCATTGAGTAGGGGTGATTATTGACTTGAACCACACTTTAAGAATTTATGAGGACCTTGACAAATTAAGCAAGGTGATTTTAAGTAAGATGAAGAAGTTTAATGAGCACAAATAAATGATAATTTACTTTGTGTGTAGGGGGTGGGTGTCTGAGTGTGTGTGTGTGTGTGTGTGTGTGTGTGTGTGTGTGTGTGTCTGTGTGTGTGTGTATAATAGCTCAGATTTAGGGGATGCAGGCAGTTTTAGAATAAACAATCTGATAATCACAAATTTGAAATATGGCATTGGTGTTTTTTAAGAAAACGAGAAGTTACCTGTAGCATAAATTTATCCAATTCCTTTAAAGATTGCAGTAGCCTCTTTAATACTTGAGAAAACAATGATGAGCTAATAGCTCCAAAAAGTGATCAATAGATTCTGGGGATAAGAGCTAAAGGAAGATATTCTTTAACTCAACAAGAAAAAAGCTTAAAGGATGAAAAAGGAACAAAGTATTTATTACCTAAAGAAATATCCTGACGTGGGTAAGTGGCTAAGGGCCAACTTACAGGCTTCTTTGAAACAATTTGAGGCTATTCTGTTACATAAATCAAGTTAATTTCTCTGACAGGTGTATGTACCATAGGCTCTGATAATCTAGTAACTCAAAGACAGTGATATCTCCTCATTGAGCTCTGATGTGACTCTGGAGAATATTTTCTTAACATGGGTTGGAACTGATCCACTTCTGGGAATGCCTGTGAATTAATTACACATGAATTTTTAAGGATATACAAATTTTAAACTCTATTGATCTCCTTTTGTAAGCTGATGGGTTATGTGAAGATATCATTTTCAGTATAAAGATGACAATCAGCTACCTGTCAATGGTGACATTAATGAAAAGCTAGCTATACAGATTAAGGGAAATTTTGTGTTCTATTATTATTATTATTATTATTACCTTATTTTATTTATTTACTTTTCAAAAATGCTCCATTCCTAGTCCTCCCTCCTGGAGTTCTTGACAATCCTCCCCATGCCTCTGAGAATGTGCCCCCAACTCACTCACCCACCCCATTCTTCTCCACCAGTATCCATCCTTCCTGGGGCATCAAGCTTCCACAGGATTAAGGGCATTTTCTCCCACTGAGTCCAGACAAAGCAGTCCTTAACTACACATATACTGGGGGCCACAGATCAGCCCATGTATGCTCCTCTGTTTTTGGACTAAACTCTGGGAGCTCTGAGGGGTCTAAGTCAGTTGACACTGTTATTCTTCCTATAGGGTTGCAATCCCTCTCAGTTCCTTCAGTCTTCTCCCCAACTGCTCTATATGGGTTCTCAACCTTAATCCAATTGTCAGCTGTAAGTATCTGCATTTGTCTCAGTCAGTAACTGGTAGAGCCTCCCAGAGGACAGCCATGCTAGGCTCCTGCCTACAAACACAACACGGCCTCAGCAATAGTGTCAAGGTTTGGTTTGTGCAAATGGAATGGATCCCAAGTTGGGCTGGTAAATGGATGACCTTTCTTTCAGTCTCCACTTTTGTCCCTGTATTTCCTTTAGACAGGAACAATTCTGGTTAAAAATTTTGAAGATGGGTGGGTGGTCCTGTCCTTCAACTGAGGGCAATGTCTACCTACTGGAGGTGGTCTCTTCAGGTTCCATTTCCCTCCTCTTGGGCAATTTGACCAAAGTCATCCACACTGAGTCCTGGTAGCCTCTCACATCCCAGGTCTCTAGGACTTTCCAGAGGTCCCCATGCCCCCAACCCCACAACTGCATATTTAGATTCATTCTCCTGGCCCTCTGGGCTTCTCTCCTGTCTCCCACATCACCTGATTCTGCCCTCCTTTCCTCCTTCCCTTCCCCTTTGCCACTCAGGTTCCTGCCTTCTCAATTAGCCTCCCTTGATCATCTTGTTTCCCCCTTCTAAGTGGGCCTGAGTTATCCATACTTAAGCTGTCCTTCTTGCTAAGCTTTGTATTGTCTGTGAGTTGTTTCATGAGTATTCTGAACTTTTTGAATAATATCCATTTATCAGTGAGTGCATACCATGAATGTCTTTTGTGTCTAGGTTATCTCACTCAGGACGATTATTTTCTAGTTCTATCAATTTGCCTGGAAAATTCATTATGTCCTTGTTTTTAATTGCTGAATAGTATACCACTGTGTAAATGAACCACATTTTCTGTATCCATCCTTCACTTGAGGGTGAGTTGTTTCCAGCTTCTGGCTCTTATAAATAAGGCTGCTATGAACATACTGGAGCATGTATCCTTGCGGTATGGTAGAGTATCTTTTGAGTATAGTCTCAGGAGTTATATAGCTGGGTCTTCAGGTAGAACTTTTGCCAGTTTTCTGAGGAACCTCCACACTGATTTCCAGAGTGATTGTACCAGTTTACAATCCCACCAGCAGTGGAAGAGTGTTCCTCTTTCTACACATTTTCACAGTCATGCACTGTTGCCGGAGATTTTGATCTTAGCCATTCTGATTGTTGTAAGGTAAAATCTCAGAGTCATTTTGATTTGCATTTCTCTAATGCCTAGGGACGTTGAACATTTCTTTAAGTGCTTCTCAGCCATTTGAGATTCCTCTGTTGAGAATTCTCTGTTTAGCACTGTACCCCATTTGTAATTGAGTTATGTGCAATTGGGGGGTCTAACTTCTTGAGTTCTTTGTATATTTTGTATATTTTGTATTTTGCATCTATTGGATGTAGGGTTATACAAATTGGAAAGGAAGGGGTCAAGGTATCATTATTAGTGAATGACATGATAGTATATATAAGCACCCCAGAAATTCTACCAGAAAACTTCTACAGCTGGTAGACAACTTTAGTAAAGTGGCTGGATATAAAAATTAACTCAAAAAAATAATCAGTAGTCTTCCTTATACAAATAATAAATCAGTTCAGAAAGAAATTAGGGAAATGACACCCTTCACAATAGTCACAAATAATATATGTTAGTATAACTCTAACCAAACAAGTGAAATATCTGTATGACAAGAACTTCAAGTCTCCAAAGAAAGAAATCGAAGAAGACCTCAGAAGATGGAAAGATCTCCCATGCTCATGGACTAGTAGGATTAGCATAGTAAGAATGACCATCCTACCAAAAACAATCTAGAGATTCAATGCAATTTTCATCAAAATCTCAACAAAATTCTTCAAAGACATGGAAAGATCAATTCTCAATTTCATAGGGAAAAACAAAAACCCCAGGATAGTGAAAACAATTCTCAACAATAAAAGAATTTCTGGGGGAAATCACCATTCCTGACCTCAGGCTGAACCACAGAACAATAGTGATAGAAATCACCTGATATTGGTAGATAAGACAAGTCAGTCAATGGAGTAGACTTGAAGAGCTAGAAACAAACCTACACTCCTATGGACACCTGATCTTTGACAAAGAAACCAAAACCATATACTTGGGGAAAAGAAAGCATCTTCAAAAAATGGTGCTGGTTTAACTGGTGGTTTGCATGTAAAAAGATGCAAATTGATCCATATCTATCACGTGTACAAAGCTCAAGTCCAAATGGATCAAGGACCTCCACATAAAACCAGATACACTGAAGAGAAAGTGGACAATATCCCCAGATGCATTGGCATAGGGGAATCGTTCTTGAACAGAACATCAATAGCTCAGGCTCTAAAATCAATAATTGACAATTGGGACCTCACAAAACAAAAAGCTTCTGCAAGGAAAAGAATACTGTTAATAGGAAAAACAGCAAACTACAGATTATGAAAAGATATTTATTTATTTATTTATTTATTTGTTTGTTTTTAAATCAAATCATAGTTTTTACTTATTCACACAGGGGTTATATACACAAAAAAGCAGGACGTGGGGAAGGGGATGACACTGGAACGTGGGTGTTCAGGGGGAGTACACATATCTTTGTTTTCATTCTTAATGTACTGAGATAAATATCTTTTATTTTTTCATGATATATTATACAGAAAATGAGAGAAACAAGGAATGATTAACTTGACAGAATCCCAGTCCCTATATTAAGAGAGCTTACTTCTGAATGGTCTGGAATTCACTGTGTAGACTGAGCTGGCCTTGTACTCACAGAAATGCCCCTGCCTCTGCTTTCCATGAGTCTTAAAATTGTTGGCATATGTCATCACACCCAGTCCATTTTAGAGTTTCCCATTTTTTGTTTTTTTTTAGTTTTTTGTTTTAAAACAAGTTCTTTCTCTGTAGATCAGGCTGGTTTGCAGTCAAGGATACTTCTGTTTCAGCTTCCTAAATGTTTGAGTTTTAGATGTGTGCCAAATACATGTCACAAAAATTTGTGTTATGTATCCTTAAAAGTACTAAGAAATACTGAACATTTCTGCTATCTCCTGTCTTCTTGACATCACCTATGTTATCCATATGTATGAGTCAGCCTTTCAATTTGTAAGGGAAATGTAGATCTTCCAACGGACAGTCATATTCTCTCCTAAGTTGTCTAAGACACCCATCTTTCTCACATCTGTTTCCCACAAACTTCCAACTTAGCCATGGCTTCTCTAGCTAAACAATTTAGTGGGAAGGGGTACTTCTAACAACTTTGCTGAGAAGAGTGGCTTAAGGCCCCTAAATCTTTTAGGAATAGCTTCAGTGGCATTTATTAACTATTTCCTGAGACCATAGTCCCCCAAAACATAAGACATTCTAGATGAGTGAAATATTTTCCTTGTGCATGTTGATGCATACTTTTTCTAAACCAAGAACATTTGGAACTCTGACTCATATTTAAGCAGTTCTTAAAAATAAATATCAAGAGCTAGTTTGGGCAGCAAATATAATAAAATTGGATCAATCAGGAAAACATTAGCATGGCCCCTGGGCAAGGATGACATGTAAATTTTGAGAAGCATTCCATATTTTAAGTCTGTTCTTTTCTAATGAGAGACAGAAGAAAACTGATCTGGAGGGAAGGAGAGGTGGGAATGAATGGAGAGGGACAAAGTGATGGAAAACTATAATCAGGATATATTGCATGAGAAAAGAAGCTATTAAGAAAACATAACTATAAACAATAAATAAGTAAATAAATATCCAGCTGTTAGTGTCAAAAGATATCTTGTAATTCAAGCAGTTAGGAGATGAAGGCAGGAGGAGGATTAGGATTTTAAGGTTGGCCTCTACTACATAGCTTGGGCTATATAAAATATCAAAGCCATCCTAGAAAAGTTCAGAGTCCATAAAATAGAGGATACCTTTGTCTAGTGTCCCCTGTAGTAACATTTGGGGTAAGATGAGGGTTTCAGGACACAGGGAGAAAGAAAGCTGAAACAGAGGCAGGGAAGGAAAGACTGGAAGTTGTTACCACTTAGACTTAGACCCCCTACCAGCCTTACTCATTGGTCAACAAGTAATTTTTTATTATAATACCATGATGCTTTTACTACTATAGCTCTGTAGTACAATTTAAGGTCAGAGATGGCAATACTTTCAGTAGTTATTTTATAACTCAGGATTGACTTAGCTATTCTGCTTTCTGTTTGATTTGTTTTGTTTTTATTTGTATGTATGTACGTGTCTCTCTCTCTCTCTCTGTGTGTGTGTGTGTGTGTGTGTGTGTGTGTGTTTCCATATGAAGCTTACCGTTGTGAACATTTTCATTTCAATTTCTGTGAAGAACTGCATTGGAGTTTTGAAAGGAATTGCAATTAATTTATAAATTGTTTTGGATAGGGTTGCCATATTTCTTATATTAGTCCAACCAATCCATGAACATAGGAGTTATTTCCATCTTCTAACATCTTCTCTAATTTCTTTAATGTATTAAAGGTTTTATTTATAAGTCTTTCACTTGTTTGATTAGAGCTATCCCAACGTAATTTTTGAGGCTATTGTGAAAGGTTTTGTTTCCCTAATTTTTCTCTCAATTTGTTTGCCATTTGTATACAGGAAGACTACTGATTTTGTGTGTGTGTGCTAATTTTGTATCCTGTTACTTTGCTGAAAGTTTTAATCAGCTATGAAAGTTTCTTGGTGGGAGTTTTTATGATCTTTTATATGTAAATCTTATCATCTGCATAACAGATACTTTGACATTGTCCCCCCCCAATTGTATCTGCTTGATCCCCTTTAGTTGTTTTATTGCTTTAGATAAGACTTAAAGTACTTTGATTGAATAGATATAGTCTAGTGTGGACATTCTTGTCTGTTTCCTAATTATAGTGAAAATTATTTGAGTTTCTTTTAGTTTTATGTTGACTGTGGCCTTCCTCTGTATTGCCTTTATTATAAGTTGAGGTGTATCCTTGTAGTGCTAGTCTCCCTAGGACTTTCATAATGAAGAGTATTAGATTTAGTCAAAATGGTCATGTAGTTTTTGTCTTTCAGTCTGTTTATGTGGTGGGTTATGTTTATTGATTTACATAGGTTGTAAATCATTGTATATGAAGCCTACAAGATTATGGAATAATCCTTTTGATGTGTTCTTGGTTTGGTTTACTTGCATTTTATTGAGAATATTTGCATATGTGCACACAAAGGATATTGACAACCATCCATGTTGAGTTATGGCTGACAGTTCTTATGAAAGTTTAGTTCATATAATCCACAATATTTGATTTCCTGTGTGCAATTAAGCTATCATGTCTGGCAAATACAGTTTTGGTATAAACACACACACACACACAAAGGATATGGCTTGTCATTTTCTTTCTTTGATGGAACTTTGAGTGATTTAGGTGTCAAGATAATAGTGACCTCATAAAAAGAATTAGTTAACGTTCTTTCCGGTTCTATTTTGTGAGATAATTAGAGATATATTGGTGCTAATTCTTCTTTGAAGATCTGATAGAATTCTCCACTAAATCCATCTGGCCCTGGGTTTTGTTGTTGGAAGACTTTTAATTATTGCTTCTACTTTACTAAGCATTATGGTTTTGCTTAAATTTCTTTTCTGATCTTGACTGAACTTTGATAGGTCATATATATTAGAAAATTTATCGATTTCTTTTAGGTTTTACAGTTTGGTTGAGTACAGGTTTGGTTTTGTTTGTTTGTTTGTTTGTTTGCTTTTGGGTTTTGTTGTTGTTTATTTCTGTTTGGTTTTGGTTTTGTCTTAAGTATCTCCTTGTGATTCTCTGGATTTCTTTGAGTCTCAAGTGATATCATCTTTTTATCTCTAATTTTAATACTTTCTATATCTTTTAGTTAAGTTAGTGAAGGATTTATCACTGTTGCCGATTTTCCTTAGAGGACAACCTCTTCATTTCCTTGACTCTATTTATTATATGTTTTACTGGTTTCTGCTTTATTTGTTTCAGCCTCGTTTGATTTTTTTTCTTGCCATCTACTCTTTTGGAAGTGTTATTTTCCTTTTTTCTTTCCTTTCTTTACTTTTTAGACACAGTTTTATGAATTTACCTCTTAGAACACGTGGCCCATATGTTTGAGTGTGTTGTGTTTTCATTCTAATTCAATATTAAAGACTTTTGAGATTTTTCTTTTCATGTCTTACACTCTTGTTGGTAAGGCTTACCTCTGAGATTTTTGTTTGACTTCTTTAATTTTTTTATTTACAGTTTTATCTCAGTTCGTGTTTTCTTTGATGATTTTATTTCTACTTTCATGTCTTAAACAGTTTTTATCATTTCTTTCTAGTTTGTTTCTATTTTCAGACTTCACTAAAGGATTTACTCAATATTGTCTTTAAGGTCTTTGCATATATCCATAATTTATATTTTGGAGTCCTTGCCTTGTGATCTAGTAGAGTTGCTGGGTTCTAGTAGATGTATACTGCCTTGAATAGTGTGGTATTTTTGCACTGGTGTGTAGGAATTTAGGGTTAGGATGATCTTCAGTGTTAATATCTGATCTTGTCTTTGTTGTGTGAGTATTCCATTCTTTGACTCTGTTGCTCTCTCTGGATCTTACGAATGGATGGCAGCTGTCGTTTGTCTGATAGAGTGCTTCCACAGCCTGGGTGGGTGACAGAAAAGAATAGAAGTGAGCTAGGAGAATAGGCTGAGATGAGGTTTGGGAAAGAGTTAAGGGGATCCAGTTCATACCAAGATGTGGGGTCCCCAAGGATTTGGAGGTGTGGTGGGAACTGGGGATCCTGCAAAGTAGGTTTTAAGGAGGCAAAGATCAATTTATGGCAACAAGGATGAACATGATAGAGAGAACCTGGCTAGTCTGGACCAAGAGTAAAAATCTCCAGTGAGTAGAGTTGAGGTGTGTGTATGTTGGGGTAGGCGGTACTCCTGTAGGCAGGCTGATACCAGGTTGAAGCTTAGAATGGAGAGATTCTGATGGACAAGTGAAAGGATCATTTTAATCAACTACCTAAGTCACTGTCAGATGTGGCCATGAAGGACTTGGAAGTCCCAGGTAGAAAGTGTTCTAGGTATCTATGGCTGAAACAAAGGAAAGGGGATAGCCTAGATGGAAGGTGCAAAATGTTTCACAGGAAGGAGGAAAGCTGAATCTACAGCAAAGTTCTTTGGAGTCTCCAGACAATAGAGTTAGGGTGGGGGGAGAAGCACCTGCACGCAGTCTGCTACAGGACTGAGGATGAAACTGCAGTGATTGCAATGAAGCAGAAACCAGACTCAGAAAACCACATTTCCCTTCTGATATGAAGAATACTTTGCACTCTTCCATTTATTTTCCATATCCTTCTACAAACGTGTTTCTGAGAAGATGGAGGAAGTTTTCTGAGAAGGAATTATTAAAATGACCAATGTGATGACCTAGAGAATATAGCCATTAGCTGTGGGAAAAAATATAAGCCACAGCGGTGGAGTCCCAGTGGATTTCCACTCTGCTGGGGGGGTGGGGAGGTCCCACATGGGAGAGGAACGTCTAAGGTTCCAGCGGCTGGAGGCTTTGGCAGCAGCAGGGCTCAAGGACACGAGGAAGTCCTTGGTTCCAAAAGGGTTTTTTGTCATGGTGGATGGTGGATGAATCTGGCAGTACCTCTGTAAAACTCAGGCCAGTCCTGAGTTAAATAGGGGGAGAGAAAGGGGAAGGATTCAGGGAGGATCTGGGGAGGATCTGGGGAGGATCTGGGGAGGCATGCTTAATTTTCTCTGACCTCTGGTCTTCATTAGTATGTAAATCCCTAGGGCCTGAGGCCTATGGTCACGCCCTCTACCTGTGCACTTTGGGAGGCGCTGTAATGGCGTATGTGACTGAACAATGTAAGTCTATGGAGACTCTGGGTTCTGGGGGTGAGGTTGAACTCCTGCCAGTTCTCACGTAGAGTCTCATGGTTCTAGGCCCATGCCCAACCATGAACCAGGATACCCTTACGCAGTCCCACAATTAGCCACACTACCAACAGGGAGGGAAACAGCATTTAGAGGGTACTCATTCCATGCTTCTGAAAAAAGATCATGCGTACTCTCCTTCCTCCTAATAATTAAATATGCACCAGAAAACAAAAACAAACAAACAAAAATGCTGAAGTTGAACAGGCTGTAACAATAATCAATATTAAGTGGTGGACTTTCTTCCATAGTCTTGTTATTTTAATCTCTTCTTTACTATTAAAATCATCTATCTTTTTCATATGATCCAACCATTTCCTGTAACAGAGTCAGTAGATAGGTTTCCAGTGTCATCTTGCTTCTGATACTTCATCCAGAAGTCACTTACCAGACAAGCCCTCCTCCTCTACATGGCTGCTCTTATGAGCAGACACTCTTCTCTGTTCCAGGTCCCAAGACTGCCAGAGTCATGGACTATGTCCTCAGCTTCTCCAAAGGCTTTCCTTCCGGCTGTTTGTTTGGATTTCCTTTTTTATTTTCTTGGCATCTGAATTTATTTCACATACAAGGCAAAATGTTTTGGCAAGTAACTCACTGGAGGCATTCTGACACTTCACAGCTAATTTTGTTACAGGAGAAATGCCCAACCGTTCTTTCC